AGCGCTTGCTGTTGCAGGAGACCAGCGGGTACTTGGCTCATCGTGCAGACGAGAGCAAGGCAGGGAGGCTGGAGAGGTCCTGCTTGGGCTGGTCCCAGTGTCCAGGGACCGGGAGGGATGTCTGCAGATAATGCTTTTCTCTGCCCCTTTCTCACAGTTGCGTCAGCAAAGATGGCCAGGGAGAGTGTTTACGAGCATGTCCTTGCTGAGCACTGCTCTGTGCCAGGAGTTCACTCTTCTTCTGGGTGACGTGTTCACTGGGACTTTGTCATTACCACAACTAAAGCTAAATTGATTTTGTTCCACTTGTTCTGAGCTGGGAGTAAAAGTACTGCTTCCTCGACTCTCATCCCCATCTTTGAGGCAGCCCACGATGTAGCAGCTGGGGACCGGGGTGGTTACAAGACACGGCAAATGGAGGCCAGTGCTGTTTGGATCTTTCCTGGGAGTATTAAAGCTCCAAGTGAGATTTTAGGGGCTGGGGAGGAGTTGTCGTTCCTCTGTTGGAGCCTTCCCAGCCATTCTTGTCCCGGAGGTCAGGGAGCTGTGGTGGCAAAGCAGTTCTGAGGCCTCCTCTGCTCCCATGTCCCAGCATGGGACTTCACTGAGAGGCTGCCTGGGTGCCCAGAACCAAGCAGCTTAGCTCAACTGCAGAACTTTATCTGCTGGGGGCACGAGGATGTCTCTGTCCCATGTCTGGAGCAGAGGCTGTGCTTGTTTTGGTGATTTAGGAAGTCACTGAGGGGCAGAGGAGACACCGTACTGCTGTGAGGTTCGGTCTCTTGGGACTTTTCATCTCTCTTCAGAGCAGGAAAGGCTTCCTCAGCATGGGGTGGGAGGTGTGTGGTGGAGGGTGAGTGCTCCCCTTGTGCCTTACACTGCTTGGGGAGGGTCTGTCCCACAGGAGGTGTCTGTATGTGTCACCATATCCCCTGTTGTGCCACCTCTATGCCTTCTGTTACCCTGCACTACAGCTCTAGTCAACACTTTGTCTGCAAAGGTCAGTATTTCTCGGAGGATGTCACACAGGTGTCCCAGACTTGCTCTGCCCTGCTTCCCTCTTGTCCCAGGTCTATGGCTGGAAGTGGATTTCCTTGCGATGGAAGGAGGCTCCCTGCAGAGCCTGGCTGAGCGGGGGTTTTGGCTGGGGTCGGGTGGGAGTGAAGGTGCTCTCACCCTATGGGTAAGGACAGAAAAGGGCTGTGGGGTGTAAACAAAGCATTTCACAGCAGGCTTCTGTGTTGCATCAGAAGTTGCTGGAAAGCTGAAGGTGGGAGCTGGCTTTCACAGCCTCACTGGAAGAATAAAAAAAGCTTGAATGTGTTCAGGTCCAGCCTCCTTAGTGGGACTGCCCCGTGCTCTTCACCTCCTTTGTCCCTGCTTTGCTGCACACTCCCCAGGTGAGGTCCTGGTCCTAGCTGAGGCACTGGTGCTTACTGGGGTCACTGGACCCTGCTGTGGCCTTCTCGGATAAAGGCACAGAGGTCCTGAGCTGGGTGACTGGGAGGGAAGGAGTATGAGGACCATGAGCAGAGCTGCTGTAGAAGGATGGTGGTCTGGCGTTGGGCTGCTGCTCCAGGAGGGGCCTGTCAGAAGAAGCTTTTAGGTGGTGTCCTGATTAGTGTTTTCCTCCTCCTTACTCAGATATATATTCCTGTGTCACTGTTGGTGACTGTGGCAGCTCCCTGGCTGCAAGTCCCAGCTCTGGTGCGTGTCTCCCTTGACATTCATTTCTACAATGTGATTATGTAGCTTTTCTTCTGCAAGAAATTTGTGCTCGGAGCAGAGGAGGGATCTGCTCAGAGGTTCAAGGCTGTCAGTCTGTCTTTAGCTGTTTGTCTGGTTGCCTTCACGTTAGCATCAACATGCTCATTGATGTCTGTTCATTGGTTTCTCCCAGAGATACCTGATCACGCAGTGGCTCTGGGACAGCAAAAGGCAATTTCCCAATTTCAGTACAAACAGCTCACCAGTTCATCACTCACAAATTTCAAATTCTGCTTTGTGGCTTAGCATGGCAGGTTATTTTTAAGCACTGGAAGAAGAAAAACCTTCTTTTAAGCCTGTTGAAACACTTTCAAGGCATTGTTTTCTATTTTGTGAGAACACCACTTATCTCTCTTTAGAATGCCTTTGAAATGCTTCTAGGATTCATGATACCATATAGACACCTTAAAAACAGTCCTGCATCAGGATAAACAAGCTTTTGTGTCTAAATTTGTATATGGAATTTAGTATCTGCTAATGGGTCTTGATCTTCATGTTAATTGGACTGATCTTTTCCGAAGCCAAACACAATCTGTGGGAGAAATGATAAAAATGCCAGCCCTGGCCTGAGCGGGTTCTGCTCCCTGGCCGTTTGGAAACCTGCTCGTGCTGCAGAAAGCTGTTCTGTGCAAAACCAAAACAGGGTCTGTTGATGTTATTTCTAGTCCTTTGAGAAGATGACTTACTGGTCACATGTGCTGCTATGAGGTCATTAGGAAGTCTCTCAAATACACAATTTGAGAAGAGATGATGCGATTGCAGAAGTATGCTCCCTCTGCGATGTGAGATGCAAAACTCTCTGAAGTACTTGAGTTTGTAATAGCTCTGAGTGGGATCTGTTATTGTGCATATTTGGGCTCATTCCAGCCCAAAAAAAAAAAAGGCCTGTTTTCTGCTTTGCTTTATCCCTAGATTGATTAGTGAATGTATACCGCGGGCTCAAGTTACATTTCAGAGGGCATCCAGCAGAGACCCTGTTTCTGTGTCGAAGTGCTGAAGGCTACAGTGAGTCTAACTGCAAGATCAGCAGTTTTCTAGCTGTGCTTTGTGCCTTCACGGCACTGTCCTTCCCTGGGGAAAGGAGCTCCTCAAATCTGTTTGTGAGTTGGGCCCTTGCTCTTCCTGGTGCCGTGGGGGAATGGAGAGCTTTCTCTAGACCCTTGATGTCTCTTCTGTGATGTGCATCTGCTTTGATGCTTTTTATTGATGTCCCTCCTGGACTCCCTGTTTGTGGATGTCCAGAGGTACCTTCTGCCACAGACTGCCTTGTGTCCTCCAGAGGGAATTGGTTTGGTCCCAGTTCACCCCAGGGGTCTGTGTCCTGCATGGTGCCTGTTCACCATTATGTTGAAGGGCAGGCGTCCTTATTTTGGCAGGAGAATGCCTTCTGTGTGTGTTATCTGAGTCAGTATCTGAATAACCCTCTTGGAGTAGGGCTTTCCCAGCAGAAAGGGGTTTCGTATCCTTCCATCTCTGCCCTACTCCTGGTCATGTATTTCTGTTGCAAATTGTGTATGAGCCGTAGGGATTATCCCATCCCTCTGAGCTGATGTACACACTCAAACATGGAAAAATTACCCAACGGGGGAGAAAAAAGTAAATAGTTTTCTGCTCTTGGTAAAGAGCAGGGTTGTGCGGCTGAGGTGGGGTAAAGAGATAGGGAGGAAAATGGGAGCAAGGTGGCATCTGATACCTAACAGGGGAGAAAAAGTTAATAGTTTTCTGCTCTTGGTAAAGAGCAGGGTTGTGCGGCTGAGGTGGGATAAAGAGATAGGGAGGAAAATGGGAGCAAGGTGGCATCTGACTGTGTATATGACCATGTCTTACAGCTTAGACCTTGAGAGCACCTTACATGTGCTTTCCAGTTAGGGCTTAGTGTGGGCACAGTGTGGTTCATGTCTGCTTCCTTTTTTCCTTATGAATACTCAAAATACCTGCTGCTTCTGGTGATGCTTTGCTGTGATTCCTGCTTGAGGCTGGTGGGGCATATGGGAGTCTTTGAAGGGGCTGAATGGCTGCTGTCCCTGTTTCTCAGCCTTCAGCTGTAGAGTCTCCATGGGTGTCACTCGTGTACAACACCAGCACCCACTTCCCACCCCTGGGATGTGGTGTCTGAACGGGATGTGGCAGCACATCTCTTGCTGAGCAGCTTCTTTGCAGGAGGCAGGACAGCACCTGCATTTTCCAACAGGCAAGTCAGCAAAGATCTTCTGCTCTTCAGTCTCCTCCTGCATTGTGCTCCTTGCTCCTGGTCACCTAATTGAGACCTAATGGTCACCGTGGGTGCCTACAGCCTGCTGGCCCCCATGGCCATGTCAATGCCTCCTGTGGCTCCATCTGCTGCGGTCCTGCTTGTCCTGCCACCATGGACCCTTAGCAATGTCACCTGCCTTGGGATTCCTACTGTCACCCCGGGTAACTATCTCCCCCCAGGTGCCACCTTCCGCTATTGAGTTTTGTATTTTCCCTCTTTCTTTATTTTTAAGTGAAAAGTAAAAGGATGTGATGTCGCATGGCTGTCTGCCAGCTGCATTGGTGATCTTCACTCCCGGGGGACCCCAACGTGAGGAAAGCAATAGGGGTGCCCCGCTGTGATGGTGGCACTGTTGTCACTGCTGGGCTTCCCCTCTTCCAGGAAAAGCAAAAGTCCACATGTTTGAGAACCATCCCTGCTCCGCTCTGTGCTTGCCATAATCCTGTTGTCTGGACTTGCTTAATAAATTACTAGTTCTGTCTTTGCTTTTTACCTTTCCCCCCATGGATGACAGGGGCGGGTGAAGGATGAACGTGAGGAGCACGGCATGGCGACGGCCTCCCCGGGACTTCTCCTGCCAGCGCGGGCAGCCGTGTTGAAGAAGAAGGTGGAAGAAGGCTCTGTGGTGCCGTGCCGGGGCCTGGCTTACCCCTGGGACTACACGGGCCCTGCTTCCTGAGCAGGAGAGCTGCTTTATGTTGTGGTTTTACTAAATGAATTCAAAGCTTGGCCTTCCTCCAGGCGAAGTCTGGGCCAAGTGCCAGCGGAGCAGCCCCTGGGGAGAGCACTGGAGCAAGGAGGGGCCAACAGCAGGGAAGAGCGGAGGAATCCAAGAAGGCAGATTTGCCTAGAAAACAGCTCTGTTTCCATCTGCTGGGTCAGGAGTTGCTATAGGAACTGGGATGATAGAGGCAGGGCCATCTCCTGGGCCTGTCTGTGTGTGCGGAGGGAGGGAGGGAGGAGGGAGGAGTTACTCAAGTTTGAACATATCATGTGTGCTGGTGGAAAGTTGCAAGGAATGTCGAAACTACAGCCTGGCTCAACCTATGGAGTTCAAAAGAGACATGGCAGTTGTTCCCCGTGCTCAGCGGGCCCTGGGCGAGGCAGGTAGGGTCCTTCCTTCCAGCTTAACTCGGCTCTCGGCTGGCGCTCAGCTCGCTCCCCGCTGCGCCTTTCTGTCCTTGGCTAAAGCACAAAGGCCTCTGGAGACTTGCTGGCGATGGAGGGGGGTTTGGAGAGGTGGCAGCGCTGGGAGGTGAAGGCTTTTCCTCCCTGGGCCGAGAGGGAAATGGTGGCTCTTTGCGCCCTGTTTTTCCTCCCGCAGGGTTCATGGATCAGGGGTGTTCCCGCGGCGTTCCATGCCCAGGGCCCTCTGGGACCCGCGGGATCTTTTGTTGGGCAGGAATGGGAAGCTGGACGGTGTTGTTCTCCCAGACAGAAGCGGTTTCTGGGGCTGTGGCTCTCCGGGGAAGCCCGTGGTGTTTGAGCTCTCAGACATGCTTGTCTGCAATGTTTCAGGGCTGGGGCTGAGTCAGATATGCAGAAATTGGGGCTGGCAGCGAGTCGCTTGTGGATGGTGGGAAAGTGGGGGGGGAACGACACGCTCCTGGGCTCCGAGCCCCTCTGAGTCCTGCCCCGCATGAGTTTTGTGGCTGTGTTTTGCCTGTATTCACTCATCTCTTCTCCCAAGGAGATGCAGACCTCCCTGTCCCCTCCTGATGTACCTACTGCGATTTTTGTCACTGTCAAATTTTCTCAGAGTCATGTTTTAGCCTAAAACATAGGAGTGTGAATATGTAGGAAGCTGCTCCTGAGAATCTTTGTTGTTAGCCCCTATGGGTCCTGCCCCGCATGAGTTTTGTGGCTGCGTTTTGCCTGTATTCACTCATCTCTTCTCCCAAGGAGATGCAGACCTCCCTGTCCCCTCCTGATGTACCTACTGCGATTTTTGTCACTGTCAAATTTTCTCAGAGTCATGTTTTAGCCTAAAACATAGGAGTGTGAATATGTAGGAAGCTGCTCCTGAGAATCTTTGTTGTTAGGGTTAACCATGGGGCTCTCTAGTAGCAGCCCTCCTAGATAAAATCTTATTATTTCCCCAGTAAACCCATTTTTTCAGGTGCTGAGAACTTTCCAAAATAGCCGTGTTTCCACCGGAGCCTTCCAGAGCCACTCACTGCTCCGCAGGTATTTATTTAAATAGGTTTGGCTGAAATTTCATCTGCCCTTTTTGTGCCACAGAGGATAATCCCTGTGGAAAAAAAAAAAATAATAAATGAAGGTGGGTAGTGTTGTTTCTCTTTTTGAGAAACTGCACAATAAGCTGCTGAAAACTGAAATCTGATCTCTATCCACAGACCCAGGCTTGCCAAACTGGATTAGATCACAGCCCACCTACTCAAGCACTCCCTTATCTCGGGCAGCGGCTGCTGGGCACGTTGCACATGAAAACCCAGGAGCCTGAATGCAGACAAATGCAGAGCAACCTGCCTGAGCAGGAGATAGCTTTCTGGTTACATTAATTACTGGTTTGCTTATGCCTGGCTGGATGAAAATTCATATCCACTGTACTCGTTCTTTTACGCTCCTAATGGAATCGCAGATGTTCTTATTATGTAGATCCACTTCCAATATTTTATTGAATTACTCCCACATTGCTCTGTGGCAATATTTCCCAGAGGCTTAATGCTCATGGTATGCTGTGGAATTTCATTTCCTCAGTTTTAATTTGTTGTTTTTTAATTTCAGTTCATTTTCAGTATGGAAAAGAGGTAAATGGGATCCTTCTTTTGGGTCTAGGCATCATTATTTTACATATTTCTTTTTTGTCCCTCCTCATCTCTCCTTTTTCTCTCAGCTTTGCCTCAAACAATCCCAGGTTTTTCTGCAGCTCCCTGCCTTCTGTGTAATTGCTAAATGTTAGTACTTCTCTGTGGGCTCCTGTTTTCTGGTCTGCCTCGAGAAAATTTAATCAGAATTGGCCACTCTGGCTTTCCATGGCTGTGAAATGCTGCTGGAGCTTTTCCTTTTGTTTATAAGCAAAACTCTTGGTTTGATTGAAACCCATTGTGGTAAGCAAAGATCTTCTTTGAACTGTCTATAGACCTGCTAAGTATTTTGCTGGAACATGTAGTTAATTGAAATTTCATCTCTCTACACGAGAAGTTAAATTTTATCTTGTAAAGTTGTATCCTAGGAAATACTAAACCCAGCAGAACACGGTTAGACCTGCTTGGAAAGTCCTCACTGGAGTCTCCAGCCTTGATGCAGCAATTTCAGCTGATCCCTAAGCGTTGCCACTCACTGCTCCCGTCTTTGCCAGGCACTTTATAAATTAAACTCTAAAACCACTTTGTGTAGTAAACAAAGTTTGCTGCGGCAGAACACAGCAGCTGTGTGTACCCAGACGTGGCTTTCTTGGTTGGGTGCTCTGGTGTGTGCTCTGCCCAGGCTCTGAAGAAGTGGTACCCACCGAGGACACAACCTGCCTTGTCCCATCACCTTCAGGCCCGTGTGCTATAGGAGGGCACTAACACTTCCCACTTGCTGCATCTTGGTATTTGGAGCTATTTTAAACTGTGGAATGCAGTGAGTGGTGATAATTTTTGCTCCTTTCTGATACTGGAAAAGCTTCTTCAAGTTTGGTAGCTTTTTGGAGATGTGTGTTGTGGCTTTCCACATTTCTAACCATTTTCTTGGTAAGACTCCAGCAGAACCAGTGGTGCTCCTCAAGAAAAGGGCAAGGTCTGTGTGCCGGGGACAGGTGCACTGAATTTTTGCTTTATCAGCATGAAGAGACATTGTACAAAACCCATAAAACGTAGCTTTTGGTAGTATCAGCATTTCTGTGGTGGTTTGATGGAAACTTGATGGCCAACTAAATCAGTAGATGTTCCAAAATAGTGTTTCTGGTTTGATTTTCACTGAACCATCTCTTAGAGTTTGGCTTCCACCCTCGCAAAAACCAGCAGCTTCTCAGCTCGGTGCTGGGTACTACAGGCTGCTGTAAGCGACTTTGTTTGCTTCACTTCAGGTTTTGCACAGTCTGCCCCAGTAATCATGTTTTATCTTTTTAAAAGGAACTCACTAGGAGCAATTAGCGAAAAAAAAAAAATCGTAAATAAGTAGCTGTTACTGCAAAGTAGGTATTTTGGAAGGCAGGCAATTAATAAGGAAAGCTCAAGATAACTGAAAAAAAAAAGCATAGCAAATGTATCTCAGGGCAGTGAGAAATATTTTAGTATCAGTAAAACAAAATAAATTTTATCAATGGTGTTTATATTGTTGGGAAAGGTTAAAAAAACCAACTGATTGCTAATAACAATAGCGAGAAGTAAAACGTTTCCTGTGTTTGGGGAGAAGCTGGATGATGGGCTCTCCTTTACGAGGACGTGGAAATACCTTCCGTTGCACTGGTAACGAGGGAGGGTGCTAAACACAAGATAAGGTTTTAAAGTCTTTGAAACTCGAGCAAGATTGGAACCTGTTTGTTTAAAACAAATTGGCAGAGCAGCTTTCTGAATCCTGGCTGCCCACGTGTAATAAATCTGGGAGGACCGAAGGAGTTCCAGAAGTTTGGGAAAACAGAAATATTGTAGCAGTGTTTTAAAATAGAGTGGGAGCAGGTAACCAAGAGGTGGTTGAGACAAACCCCCATCCAGAGAGAGAGCTGGGGAAGCTGGTGCATTTGTAAATCAATGTCCAATTAAAGAAAGAACATGCTCAGTGATCCATGTGCTCTGATGGAAAGCAGATCACGTCCGAAAAGTCTTCAGATTGTGGTTTTTAATGAGATTCCTGTACCAGTTGCCAAAAGTAACTGCGTTGACATCACATACCTGGATCCCAACTGAGTTCCCTGCTGTTGACCAAATGCTGCTGCTCCTGGGAGGCAGAAGAGGCTCGGCTTTGGGAGCAGGAGCGTGTCGGGTCCCCGTGTCCACTTCTGGGCAGAGCGGTGATGGCAGGTCCCCCTTGCCCTGACCAGGGTCACATCTCTGGCATGTCCTTCATGCTCTACTTGGGTGTCTCACCACTGGGAGCTGGTGGCCTCTGGGCTGAGAAACACCCTCCTGAGCAGTTGTCACAGAAACACAGAATTGTAGGGGTTGGAAGGGACCTCTGGAGATCATCCAGTCCAACCCCCTGCCAGAGCAGGGTCACCCAGAGCAGGTTGCACAGGAACGTGTCCAGGTGGGTTTGAATATCTCCAGAGAAGGAGACTCCCCCACCTCTCTGGGCAGCCTCTTCCAGGGCTCTGCCACCCGCACAGGAAAGAATTTTTTCTGCATGTTCAGGTGGAACTTTCTGTGTTCAAGCTTCTGTCCATTGCCCCTTGTCCTGTCACTGGGCACCGCTGAGAAGAATCTGACCCCATCTTCTTACCACCTGCCCTTTAGATATTGCTCAGCATCGATGAGGTCCTCTCTCAGTCTTCTGTTCTCCAGCTGAACAGCCCCAGGTCCCTCAGCCTTTCCTCAGCAGAGAGATGCTCCAGTCCCTTGATCATCTTTGTAGTCTCTGCTGTACCCTCTCCGTCAGTTCTCTGTCCTTCTTGCACTGGGGAGCCCAGAACTGGACCCAGTGCTCCAGCTGTGGCCTCACCAGGGCAGAGCAGAGGGGGGGATGACCTCCCTTGACCTGCTGGCCACTTTCTTTTTAATGTACCCCAGGAGACCATTGGCCTTCCTGGCCACAAGGACACATTGCTGGCTCACGGGCAACTTGTTGTCTACCAGGACTCCAAAGTCTCTCTCCACAAAGCTGTTTTCCAGCAGGTCAGCTGCTTTCCAGTGGGTCAGTTTTGGTGGTATCTGGTCTTTATTTGCTGTCAGTGTACCCTGTCTTCTCGCTGTGCTAAGGTGGCAGAATCTCTGTTTCCATTTCACCGATCCGTACTATGTTGAATAAGTTGATTTAGAAAGCGCCACCTGATACCTCTCAAAAATAGTTACCAGTGGGAATGTGATCCACGCAGTCCCTAAACACGGGGCCATGGAGTAGTGCTCTGGTGTCAGTGCGGGGCAAACTCAGTTATTCCCCAGTTTGCCCATGAAGAAGCTGGTGGGAATCCTAGCAAAATCCAACCAGAGCTGTCCCACTGCCTG